ATTTTAACATTTATTTATTTTTTCTTAGTTCTCGGCGGACACAACATCTTTGTTGGTATGTGGTGCTGCTGAGGATCGAACCCGGGCCGCACGCATGCTAGGCGAGCGCGCTACCGCTTGAGCCACATCCCAGCCCCGAGAATTTTTTTTAATATTTATTTTTTAGTTCTCGGCGGACACAACATCTTTGTTTTGTATGTGGTGCTGAGGATCGAACCCGGGCCACACGCATGCCAGGCGAGTGCGCTACCGCTTGAGCCACATCCCCAGCCCTACAATTCTTATTACATATATAGAGCACAATTTATAGAGCACAACTATCTCAGGTTGTATACATAATATATTCACACCAATTCATGTCTTCATATATGTACTTTGGATAGTAATGATCATCACATTCCACCATCATTAATTACCTCATGTCCCTTTCCTTCTCCTCCACCCCTCTGCCCTGTCTAGAGTTCATCTATTCCTCCATGCTCCCATTCCCTATCCCACTATGAATTAGCCTCCTTATATCAAAGAAAACATTCAGCATTTGTTTTTTGGGGATTGGCTAACTTCATTTAGCATTATCTTCTCTAATTCCATCCATTTACCTGCAAATGCCATGATTTTATTCTCTTTTATTGCTGAGTAATATTCCATTGTGTATATATGCCACATTTTTTAATCCATTCATCTGTTGAAGGGCATTTAGGTTGGTTCCACAGTTTAGCTATTGTGAATTGTGCTGCTATAAACATTGATGAGGCTGTGTCCCTGAAGTATGCTGTTTTTAAGTCCTTTGTTTATAGACTGAGGAGAGGGACAGCTGGGTCAATTGGTGGTTTCATTCCCAATTTTCCAAGAAATCTCCATACTGCTTTCCATATTGGCTACACCAATTTGCAGTCCCACCAGCAATGTATGAATGTGCCTTTTCCCCACATCCTCGTCAACACTTATTTCTATACTTTTTTTTTGTTTGTATGCATAATAGCTGCCATTCTGACTAGAGTGAGATGAAATCTTAGAGTGGTTTTGATTTGCATTTCTCTAATTGCTAGTGATGATGAACATTTTTTCATGTTTTTATTGATTGATTATACATCATCCTCTGAGAAATTCTATTCCTTTTTTATTTTTTCAAATAAAAAGTGAATTAGTGACAATCCACTTTATTTAGTTACTTATATTGAACTCAGGGGCACATCCCCAGCCCTTTTTTCTATTTTATTTAGAAACAAGGTCTTATTGAACCTGGGGATTGAACCCATTGCCTTATGCATAGGAGGCAAGCACTAACTGAGCTATATCCCTGGCCCCACTTTATTGTTTTTAAGATTCACTAATGGATTCCAACATGTTTTTGCAGAACAACTTGATGATTTAGTCACTCAATCACTGTTATTAGACATATAGATTGCTACTAATTTGCCATTATGAACAGTGCTGTTTGGAACATTCTTGTAACATTTCTTTGCTCACATTCATGATTTATTTCCCTTAATAGAAATTTATAGAGGTGGAACTACAATGTCATAGGATATGCAAAACTGTGGGGGGTTGGTATTTATGGATATATTGGTTGTCAAGTAAACTGTATATAGTTTGAAATTCTATACTATTTTCAGTTAATAAGTGCAGCAGTTATCTCTTGCTGTATAACAAATCATCCTAAAATATATCAGCTTTAAACAATAAGCATTTGTTATATCACTGATTGGGTAGGTGAAGATTCTGGGATTAGCTCCCTCAGCTGGGTCCTCTGGCTCAGGAATTCTCATAAGGCTGCAGTCGAGGTGTCAGCCGGGCCTGTAATCATTTTAAGATGCAACTGTAGGAAGACCTACTTCTAAGCTCACTTACATGGGTGTTGGCAGGTCTTGAGTTCCAGATGCTATTGGCTAAAGACATGGATTCTTTGTCATGTGGACTTCTCTAGAATGCTATTTAGGATGAGGCATGTCAATTACATTAGACCAGAGAAGGAGAAAGGGAGGGAGAGAAAGAAGGAATTACAGTCTTTTGTAATCTAGGGAGGTGACATCCCATAACTTTGGCTATATTCTAGTCATTAGAAGCAAGTGACCAGATCCAGACACACTGAAAGAGAAAAGATTACACAAGAGTGTGAATACCTGGAGGTATAGATCACTGGTAGCTAGTTAGAGGGTACCTACAATAGAAAATCGTGGGCACTTTCAACATTAGAATTCTTCAAAAATATCCATTTAAGGGCTGTTGCATTATCTGAGAGGGTCTATCCTATCCCCTTTTAAATAAAACTGATAGTGGCCTAATCTTCAAAAGTATTGCATTACTTCCCCCTCAAAATTCCTCAACAAAAATCATTGTTTCTGGGGTTGTGGCTCAGGGGTAGAGTGCTCACCTAGCATATGTGAAGTCCTGGGTTCGCTCCTCAACATTACATAAAAATAAACAAATAAAATAAAGCTATTGTGTCCATGTACAACTAAAAA